TATCTCTAATTTTCTTGAAGAGATCTCTAGTCTTTCCCATTCTGTTGTCTTCCTCTATTTCTTTGCATTGATTGCTGAGGAAGGCTTTCTTCTCTCTCCTGGCTATTCTTTGGAACTCTGCATTCAAATGGGTATATCTTTCCTTTTCTCCTTTGCTTTTCACTTCTCTTCTTTTCACAGCTATTTGTAAGGCCTCCTCAGACAACCATTTTGCCTTTTTGCATTTCTTTTCCTTGGGGATGGTCTTGATCCCTGTCTCCTGTACAGTGTCACAAACCTCAGTCCATAGTTCATCAGGCTCTCTATCAGATCTAGTCCCTTAATCTATTTCCTACTTCCACTGTATAGTCATAAGGGATTTGATTTAGGTCATACCTGAATGGTCTAGTGGTTTTCCCTACTTTCTTCAGTTTAAGTCTGAATTTGGCAATAAGGAGTTCATGATCTGAGCCACAGTCAGCTCCCGGTCTTGTTTTTGCTGACTGTATAGAGCTTCTCCATCTTTGGCTGCACAGAATATAATCAATCTGATTTTGGTGTTGACCATCTGGTGATGTCTGTGTGTAGAGTCTTCTCTTGTGTTGTTGAAAGAGGGTGTTTGCTATGACCAGTGCGTTCTCTTGGCAAAACTCTATGAATTTGACCATTTCAACTAATTTTTCACTTTGGCATGCTTCCTTTTAGTATTATTTTTAAAATTCCTTAGATCTTCAATCCATGGAATGGATACATGCAAAACATTTATTGAGGTCTTTGCTGTTAACTGTTTTTAACAAAAGTTCCCCATAAATTCCATGAAAATGGGAAATGACAGGAAGGAGAGGCATTTTACAACTTACCAGAGATCTTAGTAATGATGACTGTAAACAGAAGCACTGACTAATCATTTCCTAGGTTGGGTGGGGAGTCTGGAAATGGGGTTTAGTGGAAGAGGAGCAGATGCCTCAGCAGGTCCTTGGGGTGTCAAGGGAAATGGGGGATACCTTTCTTAGAAGCTCTGTGTACATTACTGCCTGCCCCAGCATCAGATGCCTGATGGTGAAAAGACATACCCAGCGTATCTGGTTAATGTGAACGGTTATTCTGAGCTGTTTATGTTGGAGGTTTTGAGTAAATGTGTTAGTTACTCAGTCGTGTCAGATTCTGCCACCCTATGGACTGTAGCCCACCAGGCTCCTCTGTTCATGGGGATTCTCCAGGCAATAATACTGGAGTGTATAGCCATGCTCTCCTCCAGGGGATCTTTCCCACCCAGAGATTGAACCCAGTTCTCATGCACTGCAGGCGGATTCTTTACTGTCTGAGCCACCAAAATAGTGACACCATTTCCACTGCAAAGAAATATTTTACTGTGAAAAAATTCTTTTTTTTCCAAAAGTGCACAAAACTCTCTAGGGTCAAATCAATAGACATGTATCAAAGCATTTACTGTGCTTCCACTATCTGTATGATCAAAATATTAATTTTTTTTTCTTTGCATTTTGTTACATAGGACTTCCCTGATAACCCGGTAGAGAATTCACCTCAATGCAGGAGATCCTGGTTCGATTCCTGGGTTGGGAAGATCCACTGGAGAAGGGGTAGGATACCCAGTCCAGTATTCTTGGGCTTCCTTTGTGGCTCAGCTGGCAAAGAATTTACCTGCAATGTGGGAGACCTGGGTTTTGTTTGTTACATATGAAGTCTTTTTACAAGCTGGTTGTTCTTTTGCTGCAAAATCATCTTTTGCTGATGTGTGTGTGTGTGTGTGTATTCTGAAGAGCAATATTCATGTTTTCTTTTTTCCAAGCCTTTTCCTAGAGAAATTTCAACCTTCCAGAGGCATTAGATGCACATTATTTTGGGTGTGATTTTGTTTTACTGATCCATGAATGCTTTTAGCTGTGCCAATACTGTGTCCATGATTTTTAGTCTTCTATTTCTTAGAGCTGGCATGCTAAGACTTCAGCAGCTTTTAAAGTCAGCTTCTGAGAACTATGTTGTCTGTGTTTTAGAATTATGTCTAGATGCTTCTAAGGCTTGGATTCAATACAACTTTTGAAAACCTACTATCTTCCAGATATGCTAAGAACTGAAGGTACAAAAATGAAAATGATACCTTAAAAGGCACTGTAAGGTTGAATGCATGAATGAGAATGCCTGTTTCTGGCTCCCAGTAACAGTAAAAAACAGTAGAGCCCCACGTCCCCCATCTAGCTGGCCCCATGAGGCTGTGAGGACTTGACGAGACCACATCTGGCAGGAGGTACTTTTGGCTGCGCAGGAGTGTGGCCGGGGCTGCAGAAGCCTGACATCTACCTCTTGGTGTGCTGTAAATTCATGGTCAATAACTTCAGGGCAAAAACAATGCCTTGTGATCCCAATTCTCATAGAAGACTTTTGAAAATGCCACTGAGGGGAGGACAAATCCTACCCAACTAAGTGGCAGCTTCCATGACTGCTTTGCCAGGAAAGAAATATGAGAGGCCTGATTAAGAAAATTCCAAGTACTGAGAATGTTTGGTTGCAAAACACAGATAAAACATCTTAAAATGGCTAAATCTCAAATATTTTCAAGTGTTCATCTTGAGTCTGATTCCAAAATAGATGGAAAGCTGCTGCTTTGGGCATCTTTTTAATCAGTTCAGTCACTCAGTCATGTCTAACTCTTTGCAACCCCATGGACTGCGGCATGCCAGGCTTCCCTGTCTGTCACCAACTCTCACAGCTTGCTCAAACTCATGTCCATCGAGCCAGTGATACCATCCAACCATCTCATCCTCTGTCGTGCCCTTCTCCTCCCACCTTCAATCTTTCCCAGCATCATGTCTTTTCCAATAAGTCAGTTCTTCTCATCAGGTGGCCAAAGTATTGGAGCTTCAGCTTCAGCATCAGTCCTTCCAATGATTATTCAGCACTGATTTCCTTTAGGATTGACTGGTTGGATTTCCTTGAAGTCCAAGGGACTCTCGAGTCTTCTCCAACACCACAGTTCAAAAGCATCAATTCTTCAGCGCTCACCTTGTGGTCCGATTCTCACATCCATACATGACTACTGGAAAAACCATAGCTTTCACTAGATGGACCTTTGTGGGTAAAGTAATGTCTCTGCTTTTTAATATGCTGTCTAAGTTTTTCATAGCTTTTCTTTCAAGGAATAAGCATCTTTTAATTTCATGGCTGCAGTTACCATTTGCAGTGATTTTGGAGTCCAAGAAAATAGTCTCTGTTTCCACTGTTTCCCCATCTATTTGCCATGAAGTGATGGGATCGGATGCCATGATCTTAATTTTTTGAATGTTGAATTTTAAGCCTGCTTTTTCATTTTCCTTTCATCAACAGGCTTTTTAGTTTCTCTTTGCGTTCTGCCTTAAGGGTGGTGTCATCTGCATATCTGAGGTTATTGATATTTCTCCCAGCAATCTTGATTCCAGCTTGTGCTTCATCCAGCCCAGCATGTCATATGATATACTTTGCATATACGTTAAATAAGCAGGGTGACAATATACAGCCTTGACATACTCCTTTCTCAATTGAACATCCTTTTATTAGTTTCAATTGTATTTCACAGATTTTATACAACATAAAAAAAGCACTGAATATTGAACTCTATTTTATTTACATGGTGTAAAACTTTTAATAACAAAAATTTATCATAAAATATGTTAAGTAGAGCAGAAACTCTGCCTGTGACCATTAATGCAAAGATTTAACATAAAGTATGCTCTATTTCATGATTTTTCACTCTAGGAGAAAATCTCTAATTCAGTTTGTCTAAATGTAACAACTACCCAGTGGCCTTCACTTTTATGAGCTTTACTCCCTCCTGTTTTATTCAAAACAGAGGCTGACCAAGGCTGAAGATCAGAGCCTGCCACACCCATCAGGAAACACAAGCTTGCTTGTTCTTCTGATTGTCTCAGGATCGATTATCTTCAATGACAATAGTTCTAGAATAGGGTTCAAGTTCTACAAATATATATCGAAATTCATATTCACCACTTTCTGGGTTCTGGGAAAAAACAAAAACATAAACGAAAGAGCATCAAGGCCTTGCCCTCCCCTTGGCACTTCCCATGAGTCCTGGTTCAGGATGCCTGCCCCCCACGGCTCACCTCCTTCACTTCAAGATGTACGGTTCCCTGCTTCCCAGGCTCCGAGCCCTGGATGTAGAACTTCACTCGCATGTGTTTCAGCCCATCTTTTACGTATTCAATAAAGCTGTCAAGAAAATGAAAGAATGCAAGCCTGACTTCCTCTCACTCAAGCCTCCCGCAGCAGCCCCGGATCCCGGCTGGCCCCGATACCTAACGTGCTGCCTTCGGCCTCGTCGTGTCACCTCCCCGTAGCCTTTGACGGGCTCGCCGAAGACACTGATGACCTGGAGGACACAGACCAGGCCTGCTCAGTCAGGGCTATGGTTTTTTAAAGTTTCCTGGAAAAATATTTCCTGACAAACCAAGTGACCCCACGAACTGCAGCACGCCAGGTTCCCCTGCCCTTCATTATCTCCCAGAATTCACTCTAGTTAATGTCCATTGAACATTTTTAGCAACATTTACCCAATGGTGTCTGATACTAAAAGTTATGAGAGCAAAATGATACTTTAGTCACTAAACACACATATAAAAACAAATGACTATTTAAAGCAAACCAGATCGAGGGGTAGGAAACCATTATTCCTAATAGGAAAACATACAACGAAGTGGAAATGAAATTTTTACTGAACTAAAAATGCAAATATTTTGGAACATTTTCATAAAATACAAATTTGATATGAAAGTAAAACAAATATTGCTTCAACTCTGTAAATATTTAGTTTGTTGAGTATATTCAGTATCAAAATTTTCAGACATAAATAAGAAGAAATAGGTAAGATGAGACATATTAAAGAACTATGTAGTTGAAACAAATGGGACAATTCTTCAAATAACTCACTATAATAAACATGTCGGTATCAGAACACTAGAATTTTCTGTTTTTCAATCAGTCACAGTGCCTGGCAAAGAACAGACCCTAATAAATGCTGACAAAATCAAATTGTTAAAATTTAATTATTCTTTGTAGAGCTCTTTCAGGCAGCAAATTAAGTTATGAGCTTGAAAACATCCCACTCCACATTTATTCAGGGAAGTTCTGTTTTGTTCCAAACGCTGAAAATCACTGAATGGCTAGTCTGTGAACAACACAGCAACTCTTCATCTCTTCCAACATTTAACTATGCGATTGATCATATTTATCACGGTAGCGTGTAAAGCGTATCTTGTCAGGTACAATTAGGTTTCCCAGGAACTACAGTGGGAACTTCCTTATTCCCTGCTGAGTTTCACTCAGAGCGGCATCTCCCCCATGGCTTTCAGATCGCTCAAGTTCAGTAAGAAGGAAAGACGTCAGAAACCGTTAGCTCCTGAGGCTCCCGTGCCGACGGGCCTAGACACTGATGGAGCATACGGAGGCGGTGCCCAGGGAAACCCAGGGCTGGGCATGGATGCTGACAGGACCTAGGCTGACCTTCCTGCTCTCCCCAGGGACCATCTCTTTGACATTACTCCTTGGTCTATACGAGAAACAGCCCTGTGATTTATGATACTATATGCCATATTCTTTCAAAGTACAAGAATCAAGCTTTCAATGAATTTGAGTTTTCAAAGCTTTCCACCCAGGGAGTAAGAAATCTGGGCCTTCACAGGCTACACTGCCTTTCTCTCTGTGACTGGAAAGCCCTATGGAAAACTTCCTTCTCGATGGGATCCTTTAAAAAAATAATCAACGTGGCTTTTCTGCGTCTGTCTACTCCTGGAGTGTGGTTCAGGCAGGCTGTGCTTAAGACCTAAGATCTGGAATCAGGCAAACTTGGACTAGGTTCTGGCTCTCCCTCTTACCAGGCTTCCATCGTGGCTCAGAAGGTAAAGAATCTGCCTACAAATGCGGGAGACCTGGGGCTTGATCCCTAAGTCGGGAAGATCCCTTGGAGAAGGGCATGGCAACCCACTCTAGGATTCTTGCCTGGAGAACCCCATGGACAGAGGAGCCTGGTGGGGTAGAGTCCATGGAGTTTCAAGGAGTCAGACATGACTGAGAGACTGATACGTTCACTTTCTCCCTCTTACTGGCTTGGTCCTCTTAGCTTAGTTATTGACTCTCTTTAGATGTCAGTGTTCTTCTGCACGCAGGATAGAGACCGCACCCGGCAAGAGTGGTTCTCCTGAGACTGAGCACAGAGTGCTCAGACCCTGGGCAGAGTGTGTGGTGCACACTATGCTCTCAGTAAGCTCCAACAATTCCTACTATGATCATGAGATCATGGATCGGGTTTTTAAAAAGACTGGACACTTACTGCATGAGTTTAATATGCTGGTATAGTCTAAGCTTTTACAATTAGAATTGAAATGTCCCTGTATGGACCTCTGGGTGCTGCCCATAAATCAAAGCATTTCAAGTAGCAAACAAAGAGCTAATGACACAATCACAACCCAACCACTCCAATTTATTATTACATAAATTTCAGTCTCAGAACCACTATGTGACTTCTGCCCACCACTCCCCCAGTTACCCCAACGTTTTTTCCTCCCTATTGTCGGAGTCTGTGTAACTCAGTCTTGAAGACTAACCTCGGGATGCGATCTGCACTTTTCTAGGGCTTTCCCATATATCTTATTCGGACTAGACGAAGAAAAAAGTTCTCTGAAGATCGTGTAAAACAAGCCACCTGAAAATCACAGAAAAAAGAGATCTAGCAAAACAAGAACAAGACAAATGGAGAGTGAAAAAGACATTCAGGGGGTTTATACTTGCTGTGATTTCAACCTGTAATGGTGATTCCAATAAGCACCACTATTAAGTAGGTAAAATCTCTTCCAGCTTCTTTCACTGTAAAGAGAAAACACCCCTGGTTACATGTGTGATGGACAGGAGCCGGATGCTCTTGGCTTCAGGATCTCCAGCAGGTGAGACGTGCTTTTGGGACACGGGAGGAGTCAGCATCCTATTGTCGGAGTCTGTGTAACTCAGTCTTGAAGACTAACCTCGGGATGCGATCTGCACTTTTCTAGGGCTTTCCCATATATCTTATTCGGACTAGATGAAGAAAAAAGTTCTCTGAAGATCGTGTAAAACAAGCCACCTGAAAATCACAGAAAAAAGAGATCTAGCAAAACAATAACAAGACAAATGGAGAGTGAAAAAGACATTCAGGGGGTTTATACTTGCTGTGATTTCAACCTGTAATGGTGATCCCAATAAGCACCACTATTAAGTAGGTAAAATCTCTTCCAGCTTCTTTCACTGTAAAGAGAAAACACCCCTGGTTACATGTGTGATGGACAGGAGCCGGATGCTCTTGGCTTCAGGATCTCCAGCAGGTGAGACGTGCTTTTGGGACACGGGAGGGGTCAGCACGTGTTCTGGAGCAGCTGCTGTCAAATCTGCACATCAGAATCACCTGAAGAGTTATTTGGAAAGAACAACAGCCGACTCTGGGAGCAGGGCTGAGGAGTCGGTACTTTAGGTACTTGATCTTAATGCCTCCTTAGTGTCTAAGATGAGGAAATCCTTTGCTCCAGTTCCTTTGAACCCTCCCACATGAAGTGGCAGCTCATGCCTCCCAGTTAAAGGCTAGCTCTTCCTCCTGCTCGAAGACCTGGTGGGGTCTTCCACCTTGCAAGACACATGCTCTGGCCAGGGTACAATGCAACTGGAAGGAAGGAGGAAACGGGCCACCCCACCCCTGAAGTGGCCGGAGGCCCCATCAGCAGAGCCAGCTATATCCCAAGGGAGATGGGAAGGGGTGCAAAATATAGACCGGGACGAGTGGGAGCTGACCTATCAGCACTCTCCGATCAAACAGTGAAGTCTGACAAGTAGCCTGGGAGCTGGTGCATGGCTCGGCTCACGTTTGGAAAGATGGAGTGAGCATGGTCCACATTAAGTGAAGTAAAAATGACAGCACTGCCACGGTGAGCTGTGGGTGTGGTGGAGGGGGGGTCATACACCAAGGCCGGCTGTCCTGAGGGAGGGCCTGGAAAACACTGCTCACAAGGGTATAGAAGGCGGTGCTCTGACGGCCCTGGGGATGGCCCAGCACTGAAGCCAGGTGGGAACAGTCACAGCAATGAACAGCTTGGTTTCTCGACCTGAACTGCTCTTCACTCCTTGCATTCATTTACCGAAGGAAGGCCAACTCCATCAGGAGGCACTTCAGCAAGTATAGATTCCCCTGGTCCTTCACCAGGGCCCCTTGGCCATTAACTTGGTGACCCTATGCTGGAAAAGGGGACACTTCAAGGTCCACTGGACAGAGTCTGAGCTGACATCAACAACTAAAGAGTCTCTGTGGTCCCTCTGTTAAGTACCTGTGGTGGCTATGTAATATAAGAGCCTGGCATGTAAGAGGGTCACAGCTGGGTGGACTTACCAGATGATCATTCCCTGATTTTCAAAGTATAACTGGAACGGCTATACTCAGTCATCAGCAACAATAGTCCCTAAACTAGGTCCTTCGAGGTGCACTGCCCACCATACCGTAATGAGTAGAGTCCAATGGAAGCCTCTAAAACTGTCTCCCACTGATCAAAATAGTAAATAAAAAACAGCACTGCATCTAAGGGCCAAATGAAAGAGAGAGAGTGCTATTCTTAGAGACTAAAGACAGGTATGGTTGTCCTAAGAGGTAATGGCGTGGCTATTAGGAAACTGAAATTAGAAATACTCACATTCAATTTTTAGTTGTGTGAAACTGGGGAAATGAGCCTTATACATACTACTGAGTCCTGTCTGAAAAAGTAAACGGTGAGATTCAAATGAGATGAAGTAACACCTGGGAAATCTACTTGTCTGTTATAAAACATTAAACAATGGTTACGTTTTATAAGCTCTCTCCACACCAAAAAATAAAAGTTGAGAAAAATCTTACAGACATTATTCAGCAAAGTTGTATCAAAATCAGCCTTCAAAGGTGAGTTTTCAAATCTGGGAAGAAAATTGCAGGCCTATCTTCTCTGCTTCTTAACTGTGTTGAACGGTTCTACCTTTTAATTTGCGTGAACCGTTTATTCTCGGCTCTGAACTCATATAAAGGGCGTTGGCAGCTCCCGTCACGTTTGCTAAGAGACTGATCGCTACACGGAATCCCCTTTACCTTTTTGTGACGTCGAGAGGACGGTTTCCCCGCTCTGACTCCTGTGCACAGACACTTGCTTGCTACCGTCCTCCTTCGCGCTCTGGGGGCTCCGTCCTTGCGTCCAGATGGACCTCTGGGTGACTCCCCAAATACACCTAGGTCGCGCAGTCGCCTTCTGCTCTTGCAGCCCCCATCTCCACCTGGGTTCCGTCTGAGAGCAAGCTCTGTGAGGCACGGAGTGTGGCAGAAACCATGGCTTCCCGGGGCGCCCGTGCAGCCTCTCCGTGCACCGCACAGCTCGCAGGAGAGTGCAGATCATGTTCCTGGAAGGCCGCCCCGCTCAGGGAAGACGCCAGCTATGAAGGGCAGACCTTCTCGACCGGCCACACACCCGGCCGGGCGCGGGATTGAGCGTCGCGTCTACACCGGTGACGCTGCACGGGCGTGTTCGGCAAAAACGTTAGCTCCAGCTGAGTCAATCAAGACAGAACGTCTCCGGAAAGGAGCTGACGCCCACTTTCCCTTCCCTTCGGCTCTCCTTTCACTGGACTGAAAGTACTTGGATTCCTTTCTTCGCTGACATTCACCCGATCCTCGCCAGGCCCCTTGCAAAGGGACCTGGAAGGCGCGAGGACTCCTGGGAGTGGTAGTTCGAGGGCGGCACTCCTGCCGGAACTGCCGCGGTGCGGGACGCTCAAGGACTACATCTCCCACAGTGCAAGGCGGCCGGGGCGCGCGCCGACGCCTCGGGGCTTTCCACACGCCCCTGCGCGGGCGCCGCCCCGCTCGACCTGACAGGAAGGCGGGGCTTTGTTGGTGGCGGGCGGGATGGGAGTCCCTGGCACTGCGAACTTCAGGAACTTGCAAAAATCAAGTTCGCGATTACAAACCGCCCGTCCCGGTGTCTCTCTAGAAGGGACCGTGCCAACTGGGGAATTCTCGGTCTGACTGTGGCCCTGCTGTTGCCTCTGGGCAGACGATGTAGCCTTTTCGTTTGGTGTTCTTAAACAAGTCGGGCAGGAAGCAGCGAAGACTACCCCACAGCTAGCAGGTGGAGAGGGCGAAGCCGCTTCAGAGCTCGCGCGGGCCGAAGAGTGTGGGCTATCGTCTCGCCGCCGCCAGACGTCCTTGGCGTCGGCGTCGGCGCTGACGCCGTGCCCGCGGAGCCGGCTGGCAGGCGGAGTTGTCTTCGGCCCCGCCCCCAACAGCGCCTCTGCGCACGCGCCAGTGCCGAGTGAGCCCAGAGGAGGAGCGTCGGCGCTGGGTATCCATGGCGACCGGACGCGGCCGGCTCCTGCAGCTGCAATGGCAGTGCCTCGTGGCGCGGCCCCAGCCGCATGGCTGCTTTGGCTCAGCTTTCCGGAGCCCCCGGGCTGCCGCGGGGCGCGCAGGGTTCAGGTGACTCTCCGGGGGTGGGGTGGGGAAGGGCGCCCGGGAGCCCCGACGGGAGTAGCCCCTCACTTCCCCGCCTCCGTTTCTCTTTATTTTCATTGATTCCGACCTGTTTGCGGGAAAGGTCTGGAAGGACGAAGAGAGGAAGTGTCTAAAACTTGGAAGCGTGGGGTTACCCCAAGTCACGGTACAAGTCGAGGAGCTTCCGTGGAATATTCTGTCTCCTCGGTTCATTCAGTTAGTGGGCCCTGGGGGTACGGGGGCGTGCGAGCCCCTAGACCCAGAGCAGCCCTCGCAGAGAGCCGCCGCGTGGACGCGCCCACCTGCGGGGGCAGGTGCGAATCTCCGCGCTCCCGCGCCGGGTCTCCGGCACGGCCCCCCTCCAAAGCGTGTTCCCGAAGTTGTTTCCTAATTCTGGGGCCGGGAGTCACCTTTTGTCTTTTTTATGACTATAGAAAAGTCGATAATACTTATCAAAACATAATCAATTTTCTCTCCTGCCCCCAGTTCACGAACGGAGGACTCAGCCCCTAATCAGGTAACGCTGTTAGGCAGGTTGGTCTGGGAGCTGCACCTCCGCCATCACGGCAAGATTTGCGTTTCTAAGCAGACCCTGGGGGGATGCCTTTTGTTAATAGACAGACATCCCTACGTGCTCGCTCCCTGATTCTTTTCTGCAGTCTTCCTGTCCACGCGGAGGAGGGTGTGTGTGTGTGTGTGTGTGTGTGTGTGTTGTTGTTGTTCTGGTGACAGGGGGCTTGTCTTCGCTCCAGTTCTCTCGGGGTACCCTGGGCCTGAAGGGTGGTCCTCTTCTGCAGTCACAGAAGGAGATTGGAGGAGTGAGGTGGGGAAGGGGCAGGGCGCAGGAGGTGGCAACTGCTTTCCAGAAGGAACTTCAACTTAACTCCAAGGACAGTGGCTCGCTTCACAGAGTGAGTGTCCCAGGTGTCTGAGGAAGCATCCCTGGTGCTGTCTTCATGTCTTATTACATCCCTTTCTTTCATCGTGAGCTGTTCCTAGCTCTGCACCGGTCTTCCCAGTTAGATTGCAGGGTGGAGGAATAGTGCTAAGGACCGTTTGCATTCTTGGAGGCTCTCTTTTTGCTTGTAGATCTCGATTTACGGATATAGAAAGTCTGCCATATTATGCCTTGTAATAAGCCAGATGTCTGTGTTTAAGCATAGAAAAGGATTCTGTTACTAAGCAGTGACTAACACTACACGACCACTACTTACCAGCTCAACTACTTAAGGTATATTTTTTTCCCTCTGAATCTCCAGGACTGTCCTGTGTCCATCCTGCCGGGATCCATTACCCCTTTTACCCTAGTTTCAGAAGCAGGGCTCCCCTCCCTAGGTGTTACGGTGATAGTTGGTTCTTGAGAATAGCTGTAAACGGGCTGCATATCACAAGCCTCGTGACACAATAGTGACAATGCCTGCAAAATTTCTATTATGTAGGAGAGAAAGACAGGAATTTAAAGTAGGAAGATTGAACTTTAAATCAATTTGCCACTGTTACTAAAATTAGTCTTTATATATAAGGCTCTGTTAGTGGGAAGCAGGATGATTGTTACATGATGAATCTTCTATTACTTTGTAAGTTGAGTGAACTTCTTGTTGAAATGATGTAATTAGAATGCCTGTAATTATACCTGGCATGGAAGTGTGCATGGCAGTCTGTGATTTGGTGATATATAAATTATTTTTGGTCAAGAAAAGTCAGATCTTAAGAATGGTTATAGTCTAAGTAGGTGGTTATTTTTAATGTCTCGAGGCAGAAAGAATTAGATTTTCACAAAGAATCACACAAAATGTTTAATATGTTTAAATCTTTTTAACACAAAATATGAATTTGTATAAATAAATATCTTAAACTGTAAGAATATCACAGAAAGCTGTCAAGTTGACTTAGTTTCTGCTTGGTCTAATTTCTTTGATTTATCAGATATTAAGAATCAGGCCCAGAAAGTAGGTTTTTAAAATACTGAACTTAATTCAAAGCAATCAGGTAAAGTTTGTCACGTTAAAAAAAAAATCGGTTTTAAACTAAATGTCATCTTCCTAGTTATAAAGCTTAATGCGCACTGCTTAACTTTGTAGCCATACAGAGCTTTATGCCATGCGAGGGACTTCCTGATGGTGAGCTGTGTAGCCCTGTAGAATGTGCAGTTATTTTTTTTATGCAGAAATGCAGATGTGCTCTCAACGGTAAAGTCCATAACAGTAAGATGTATGGTGACACAGACGTTACTGTTAATTACCTCGTTAGAGCCTTAGTCTTCTGCTCTGGAAATGAGGGGCTTGGGAGATCTAGTTTAATCACGGAAAGACAAAACAGAAACAAATAGGCTGTACTTAGAACAGATATGAGCCAGTGGGCAGGGGATTCCTTCTTGATATGGAAAACTAACATAATAGCTTTGGGGAAAAATGTTAAATAACTGGTGGGTAGTATAATACATTTTTATAATAAGACAAATACTGATAAGTTACCCATTAGAATGCAATATTTGCACTAATTTTTCATATTAAATACAAGACTTCAAAGAAGTTTTGAGCTTTCTGCAGGGTGTGCTCCCAGATTTTGGAAGACCTGGAACCCAGAATGCTTGGGGGCCTTTGAGAACAAAGGCTCCAGCCGAAAGGATGTTTTTTTGCTGTGAAGACTGTGCTCCCAAACCTTCCTGTGTTTGGGCTTCTCAGTTTTGAAATGAGAACAACAACCCTCCCTTACAATTCATTACATTTTCAGTACACAGGAAATATTAGAGAGTACACTGTGTTCTCTCCAATCTTCCGGCTTCTATTTAAAAACAAGCACGGCCAAAAACTTTGTAATCCCCTAATCTTGTGAATCAGATGTATTACCAGTTAATACTTGGTTATCTTTCCTTGCAGACTGCTTTTCTTTGTGTGTATATGTTTGGTTTTTTCCTCTGAAGAGAGAAATAGAAATAAAAGATTTTGTAGTGTATGCTGATAGAATCTGCATTTTTGATCAATGTGTTATTTTTAGCAAATATTTATTGAATGCCTTCTTCATGCTGGGGGTGTTGTGGGTGTTGAAGAATAGACAGTGAACAGAGCTCATTCAGAAGCCCTGCCAGCACAGCCCTTCCACCCCAGTGATGGTGGGCGAGTGAAATGTGTGGTGTCTGGTGATGCGTGCTAAAGAAAAAAATGGGGGGCATCGTGTGTGTGTGAAGTGGAGTCTGGAGTTTAGAGGCCATGGCTGGAAGATCTCAGTGAGATGGTGATGTTTGAAATAGTCAGACGGGACTGAGCAGCTAAGCTTGCAGGCACTGTGTGTAGGAGGTGAAGAAGCCGGCCTTGCAGACGCTGTGAACTTGTTTTTATGTAAACCCTCCCACCTGAGTTGCAACTGTCCATTTTAACTGACTGAATGTTGCTTTTTTATGGAGGCCATGGGAATGAACTGATCCCTGTCTGTTTCTAGGGGCTTCTTCCCTGGTGGCTCAGTGGTGAAGAACCCACCTGCCAGTACAGGAGATTTGGGTTTGATCCCGGGGTCAGGAACATCCTCTGGAGAAGGGAATGGCAACCCACTCCAGTATTCTTACCTGGAGAATTCCATGGACAGAGGAGCCTGGTGAGCTACAGTCCATGGGGTCACAAGAGTTGGACAGGACTTAATGATTAAACAGCAACAACCAAATACTGTTTCTAGTACTTTTCCCACTGTAGGCAACTTTGAGATGAATGTTCCGGAGTGAATCCTTTGGGCTCTCTCTTTTTTTTTTTTTTTGCCTTGGGATGTATTTCTAGACCTGAAGTTCTTGGCTTAAAAAAATACATGTCTTCAAAGGATCTCGATATTTACTAGGACTTGCCTTTCCCTGCACTTGGCACCAATCCATGCTCACAGTAGTGAAGGAGAACGCCTGCTCATCTGCAGCCAAGCCACCCTTATCATCGCTTATTGGGTCTTTGCCAGTTTGCTAGATTGAAACTGATGGATAGATCTATTTTACTTTTCTTTGGTTTCCTTGGAAAGGCCTAGGGTGACCGTTTTGATTTTTTTTCATCTTTTGATTGAAGAAATACATAATGGCGAAAAGCTGTTATCAATTTACTAATGCTTCTAAACAAATTTGTATTTGGTCAGCCACCACAGTAGAATTCGTTTAAGTTATAAAATATCTGTGAGAGACGCTCCTCAGTCACTGGTCAGTAGTATCTGCCTGTGTACAGACTCTCAGACTTCTGGGCACACTTGTGTAGGGGTCTAAAGGTAACCCAGTGAGGACTTGATAGATATTGTTATTAAATGGAAGAGTAAAAAAAAATCCTTCAAAGCTTAAGTAAGCTTAGAAAGCTTTG